TCTCTTCTAGTTACGACCTTTGTACTCGGATACTGCTTGATGTAGGTTGCTAAGCCTATAAAAATTTTGCACGTGGAGAATATGAAACAAAATCATTTTTTAGGTTTTATATATACATTTGAATAACTAAAAAATCATAAATCACTACATTAATGCCATAGAATTCATTATAATTTCTCAAGCTTAGTAACTAAGATGTATTTTAATCTAAAAAAAATATGAAATCTTCAAGCAGACTAAAGACACACCCTACCTCATTGAAATATTGGTTCAAAAGAAATAATTGGTGCTAGCTACATTAAAAAGGCTGAGAAAGCCCCTAGGGGGACATTCTGAGCTTCCAATTGGTTATTCATGTCATGTATAGAAGTAAGCATACATAAGCTTCTCAATATCGGTAATTTGAGTTTCTAATTCCAAGAGAAACTATATACTTAGTATTTGGACTTAATAAACATCTAATTTAAACCAGTGTTAAATTCAACATACCACATGACACACAAAAATCGATATTTATCTGTGTTTTTAATATTTGCTTTTAAATTAAGAAATTGAGTAATATATAGTACTAAAATTTGAATTATAATCTACAAATTGATACCAAAATTATTGCCATAAGTTCATGAAATAGTAGTTCAATAAAATTTTGAATGCGAGTCAACATACAAAATGACATGGCCTTTCACCCATTACCCGTCTCCAAAGGGTTAATATGCTGATTCATTACAAAAAGTGGGGAACTCTATTTAAGAAAAAAAATAAAATAAAATACTCAGAAAAATTCCTGATATAAATATGGATGGACTTTTGCTAATATTTAATAAACAAATGCAAAAGGTAAAACACTGTTTCTAAGACATTTAATTAAAAAGTACCCATACCTGTGTGTACTGAAGTTGTTGTTGCACATCCCGAAAATGATCATTTATGGTTTTAATCCGTAAGTTAGATTCTTGTAATTTAAAATTGTAAACAGCAACTTCTTTCTGCTTTTCTTTCAACTATATGAAATAAAAATGCAACTACTTAAAAGATTTCCACTAATAAAGATATTTGAGAAATTGTGACTGAAATAGTTTAATACAAACTGAAAATAAAACATAATATAATGGACAAGAAGGAACCATTTTGGTCCTTCAAAGTCTGCTTCTCCACAACATTGCATTAGAAAAATTAAATCTACCCTTTATTTTTCAGTAAATAATCTATATTTCTCTTACACCCTCGTAAGGTGCCTTTCTCCAATACTGCAGATGACAACTTATTACAAAAGCTCAATCTGTTAAAAAAATAAAACTGTCATTTCTAAATCAGAAACTTGTGTCCTCTCATTCCATTTTCTACATAATACAGCATAAAGAAGTAAAAAGTCTTTATCCTATTGATCCCCTATATAATCTTGTAAACATCAAAAAGATCACCTCTTAACTTTCTTTTCTCAAGAGAAGATATGCAAGAAATTTTAACAAATCCCCATGAGTTAATCCTTCCAACACTAGGTCTTTTATTCCTAATTTCTCAAACTCCCTATGCAAGTTTAATTCAGACTATTGTTAATGAAATTATTTAGATTGTCCCCAAATGTCCTGCAATCTAGCCTACTTCAGGCAAGCAACTGTACTGTCACATACACTATAATACACTGCACATTAGCACTTGGCAAAAGAATTATGGTCCTAGATTTTCTAAGTTTCCCATTTCAAATAACTATTAGTATACTTAAAGAAAGGGTCAACACTATGTATACCCCTTAAACATCTCCTTCCTAACTGCAAGCAGCTAAAGATACAAATCTATTAAACAATGGTACCTGAATGCTAAAAAAACCTGCCTCTATAGCCTCAACTTTTTTACTACGGTTTAACCTCATAAACCCAGTTTTCTTATTCTTACTATCCCTAAAAACAACCTTTACCCTAAATTATCTATTACTTGTTGTTTCTGTTCTTAATCCATTTCTTTCCCCCCTCTAACAGACTAATCTTTCCCAAGCTATCTCTGACTTACCCTTAAGTGAGCAAGCTCTGTGAGTGAAATGTATGATTCTGAACCTCCTTAAAATCACAACTCTCAAACATAACTAAATCATTGGTGTTAACTACCTTACTCTATAAACTCTACACCACTTATCCCTGAACTACCTGTAATCATATTGAAGTGTGCCAGTCTTGTTCTCTAGCTGTTCTAACCAGTCACCCAATACTTGCAAACTTAAAGTAAAATTAAGTTACATGTACTTCAGAGTTTATAGATCAAACTCCACATAAATTTAAGACTCAAGTTCCCTTATTAATTCATTTTGATACAACTAATAACTAGAACTGCAACTACAGATGTACACATCTTCTTGCACATGTGTAATACTTAACAATATTTTTTTTTTCCTTTTGTTTTCCATTATACTGTCAGTCTCATCTCCTTATTACTTCAGATTCAATGCACAATTACAGCAAAGGTTATTTATTAAGTTTCAAATAACTTCAATTTTTCATAATTCTAGATAAGAAACAAATAATATTATATTATTTATCATAATACATATGAATTTTCATCAGTTGTTCCTAATAAAATAATAAAATTAGATAAGCAATAGTTTTAAACTTTAAATTATAGGCATCTTTTGTATCACCTGTTTCTCCAAGGCTCTGTTTTCTTCATTTGCAATGGGAAAGGCATACTTTCCACCAAATAAGTCTTGATAAAGATTCTTATCAAGAATATCACTCCAACTCTCTTGGACCATCTTCACTAACATTGATAAATCTCACTATAAAACAAAAGTTTGAAAAATATTAGGAATAAAAAAAGCTTTAAAGTACATATATGTTGATTGTACATTCCCTTTAGTTAGTATGTTACAGATTTTTTTAATCAGATTTGTAAAAAATAACATATCAGACCAACTTTTTACATGCCACAAATAAATGCCAAGGTGGACCTTCATGCAGTACCAGAATTAATCAGGCCAAGAATAAGTTGTGTTTACAGAAACCAACCCAAAGAGTTTTATTTGCTAGCTCAAACGTCTTTTTCATATAACAAAAAATTACGAAGACAGCCATTTCTAATGTGAAACATGACAATATTCTATACCTTAGTTTCAAAACATTGTGAATAATGTGGACGTCAAACTAAACACTAAAATACCAGATGTTATCAATGTATAAAAGACAATACTAAATGCATTCACAAGTTGTTTTTTTTATTTCTTTTAGGGAAGTAGGGGTATTTGGTGACTTATGTGAAGTGGAGTATTTGACTGTCAAAGACACAGTATGCCCACAAACATGCTCTGCTTGTATTTCACAATATTTATTTGCAAGCATGTCTGAAATGGTACAGTTTTAAGGGAATCTAGGTTTTTCACAACAAAAGTCATCATCTAGAAATAAAACCCTTCAAATTTAGTGGGAAAAGATTTGAGTTTGGGGGAAAACAGTAGCTTCCACTCCTATCCTATGGAAAGAAAACTTCACTGTAATGATTGAAATACCAAAAACTGTTGTTAAATAACTTTTTGTTTGAATTTCATGCAAAACTACTCAAGGGTTATCTTCACTAGTTATCCATAAGTCAACACCACCTACTGACAACTCTTAGACTACTTTAATTGAATAGTAGGATTTGACCATCACCCTCATAATGCACCCAAACCCTCAATGTGTGGATCAAGATTTTTTTTTCGTGGTAACGACCATGAACCACAGAACCTGAACTCCACAGTCCAGCACAAATACAACTAGAGCAGGGCAGTTATTCAACTGATTTAACCAATTATGTGAGAGCAACAATTACATTGATAAGTGTCAAATAATCAAAATTACAATTAAATCAATTAATATCATAAAAATAATCAACAAATTTAAATACTATTTTTGATTATTTCAACTATCCAAGTTACCAAAATACTGCCATTATGCTTGTTTATTGTTAAACATAAAACTAAACAATGGGCTCTGTGCCCTGACCACCAAAGATATCGGAACCCGATTTTTAGCATTATAATTTTTCTTAACCAAATATCGTGAGTATAATGGATTTTTTTTTACTTTTAGCTATCCCATGAGAATAATAAATTAGTTTAATAAAATTGATTAATGACCCCATTGATTACTCAATTAGTAAATTTTGCTAATCCCCCAATTCTACTAACCACTGGGCTATTTTTTGTCCATAAAATGAAAGGCATGTGGGTATATGTCAACAGAATATCTAGTACAACAATTTTATTATGAACTTTTTAACACTTTTCCTCCCACTGTAATTTGGACAAAATATGTTAAAATTCTAACAATAATTTTAATATTGAAATATGAAGATGAAATAAAACAAATGTGTATGATTATATAGATATACTTAATGTGTTTTTTTGCTATTTTTTTTGTTATGAAATATTTCATTTAGTGATTTTGAATAAACAACTTATATCTTTTTAATTTTTTGATTGGCAACTTTAACCCTTTCAGTACTGTTGGGTTATATTTGTTCCAACATATATTTTTTTGCAGGGCTAATGAACAAATATAACTTTAATTATAAAATGTTCATGCATTACTTTCACCTCAGAATGTATATGCAACATGTTCCATAAAAAGCTGTTAGGACACATGTAACTCAAAGCAATGCCTGTTGGAATTTATGTCCCTTATTCAAATTTCAGAAATTGTGCATGGGAAAAAAAATTCCAAAAATACTGAGAGCATTTGTTATGTATTCAAGATCAGTCATACATACTTATTTCTATTTTAAGTATACAAAAGTCATACTGAAAAGTTAATGAGTCAAAAGGGATACAAGTGTTCTTATCTCAAAGCTTGAATTAATATTAATTATAAAAATACATACACTATTTTGAAGGATATCTTAAATTGAGGTATATGACTCATATTTAAAATTTGATGGGACTCATCTAATTATTTTGTCCAGGAACAGTAAAAAAAAGGAAAAAGATGAGACATTTCTATTAATAATGAGGAAAAACATAGTAAAACTTAATTAACAGGGTGATATATTACAACTTGAACTGGAATTTGCCAAATTAAAAAAATTATAGTTTTTACATCTGTCAAAATAACTATAAAATGGCAAAAATTGTTTTGCAAAATATGTTGTTATATATGCATGCTAAAATAACTTCAACATACAATATGGCTTATACATTAACCATTACTTTTCTAAGTAAACTTTTATCAGAGAACTTCTGTTTAAGTTTACATCCCTGATAAAAACTATATTGTCCTGATGATGATACCTTATGATAAGCATGTAACTGTGTTTAGCTACATTACTTTTGTGTCTTTATCCAACAACATACGAAATGCTTGTATTCATAACACAAAAAGGGAGGTATAAGATTGGTGGTACAATGCTGACTGAGGTTGTGATCAATGAACATATTTCCAAGTGAGAGAGATTAAATACATTTCCATATTTGTTTATAATACTAAAATGCTGGTAAAGAACTTACTCTTAAATAGTCAATAAAAAAATGAGGAAATCATTATTTAATATTGAAAAGAAGTGCTATAATAGTAAAAAAAAGAAGTGGAAACACTAGCCTTTTAATGGTTAGGGAATCCATACCAGGAAGTAAAAAAATAGGTTCTATATAAAATGGGTAAACACTGTGTTCCCAAAATGAAAAATTGACACTATGCTACTATTGAAAAGCATAATTTGATGCACTTTTATGTGCTTTTTAAAGTTTAGTTAAGCTGATGGGGCAGACTAAATGAAACAAGAGGTACCTTGTTGTTCTTAAGTTTTATGTTAAAATAGTTGTTACAGAGTTTGCAGCTCTTATATTTAAGTTGTAGTCTGCATATACAAATACAAATCTGGCAACAAACCAATCTCTAAATTATGTTCAAACTAAAGTTAATTACTCTTTAATACTAGTAGTAGTATGTTAGTACTAAGCTAAAACTCCACTAACAGAGTTTTTAGTCATATCACTATTTCTAGAACACTGTTACCATTAGTCTAATGACAACCAATAATTTTGTACTTCCACAATTTCTAACCCATAACATTAGACAACAGCTGATTAACATTGCTTCGAAATGGAACTGCAAAGTTGGTTCCCGTTTTGAAAACTACACAATTCATTTCCTCCAACAAATTCACCTTAATTTGTATTATGAATGTATCAGTTATAATATGTTTAGCATCAGTCATCAGCATGGGAAAGTAATAATTACTAAGAAAATTAATATATATTCGAGTCTTAAGATTTAAAAAAAAAGACATTTCTTTTAAGTTGTAAATTTTTGTGTATCTAAATGTACAAGTGGAACGTTGTTTTTTTTTTTTGTTGTTGTTTAATTATAGTTCATATGAAGTACTGATACTTGCAAAACTCTTTGGGTAGACTAAATTGTACTACTTTTTCTAAATATGAATCGAATTGTCAGCGTTTACGCAAAACTAAAATTAAGACTTAAGTAGGCTACGCTGCAATGGTCGTGCAAGTACAGAAACGTAAGTTTAACTTTTTTAAATTTACTTTAGAAACATTTACTTGACAGTTTATACTACATTTATACAAATTCCAAGTGCTAGTTTTGTGACTAACCTTATCGTTGCTAATATACGTTATTAATATTAGTCCTAACTGAAACTGCAATCATGATATTATATTTTTTAAAATCATTATTCCTTACGAATAACGTTTCTATCAGTAAATAACGTTATTATTTCCAGCCGTCTGAATAAGAACTGCCTTAATAGTAAGACCGCAATACTTAATATTTCGTAACTTTAGTTACAGAATAACGTAATTTATTTTACTTGCAGAATTATTCTTAATTTTATTTACCTTAATTATTCTTTATCATTCTACTCAACAACTTACACAATATTTATCAAACATGAACGTTTACATGTGATATT